TTGTCTCTGAATTGTTAGTCGACTGTGTCCTGTCCACCTTGCCTGGACCCCTCTGTTTGATCGAGTCTTTCTTCATTCACTGATAATGTATGTGTTTTGTAAACTGCATATATGATTGAATTTGTAATTGGTCATTTAATTAGTTCCCAAGGTCATTTCTGTATTGACATTACAACCTGAACCCCTTGTTCAATACTGTTAGATTTCTGATCATGGTCTTTGATTGTATAATTAGTATAGTCGATTCGATACGTGTCGTCAAATAGTTTCAGCTGTTTGAATGATAACAATTTGATTTGTTTTTGCTGAACATTGTTTGAATCTAAAATTGAGAATCGACTATAACTACTTATATTTGTTGATTTGAATCAGAAACTTAAGGATTTGGTTTGTAACCGCAGTCTGAATTGGTGGCATGTGCATTTGTGTACAACATATGCATAAAGTCCCTTTTTAGATTAAAATAGTTTGATAGCATATGCTGTCAGATTATATTCTTGCTGCCCCTGTCTGCTTTTAGTTTAATAAAATGTTAAAGGGAACTGTCAGGGAATATGATGGGGGGTCCCTAATTTTAAATGTTTGAGTGTGAAAAAATAGTTGAAAAGGAATAGGTTCTGAGTTGTTTAAACAGGCTGTGAATAGCCTGATGTTAGGCTATAAAAGGGAGAAGAACTTACATTAGTGAGGAGGGGAATTTTGGAAAAGAAAAACACAGACAGATTTTAGACTGAAAAATTTAGACTGTGCCAGGAAATTGATTTTTAGAAGGCATAGATACAGAATGATATCACAGAATAGGCATATACAGATACATACACAATAGAGAAAAACATACAAAAAAAAATCAGAAACTGTTTCTTCCTACTGTTGTTTGGGTTTCATTTGTTCAACCTGTTCAATCAATCCTGATTTCTTCCAAGTCTCGACTAAGTCTATTGTTTGGTTTGCATTGTTTGTTCTCCTGGACTTGGTCTTGTCTTGGAGCATTGTTTCTACTGCACTGTGTGCTGCTGTTGTTTTGTTACTACTTGTTCTATCGGCTATAGTTGCACCTTGCTCTGGGATTTGTCCTGTTGTTATCTGCTGTTACTGCTGCTGCATTTGTTGCCATTGTTACTCTGCTGACTTCTCTTCTTCTTCAACTGTAAACACTTCCAGGTACACACTTCTGAAACCATGTGTTGTTGAAAGCTTGAAGTTTTGAAGCAGAAATAAAGAAATGAATGTTGTTTACTTCACAATGCTTGTGTTCAAAATATAGCCATAGTTTGAATGATAAGTTGGCCTGCATTTGTTTAACTTCAAACTGCAATTGCTCTGTATGAATTAACATACATTCTGATTGAGATGAACTATTAGATAGCATTGTTTGTTAGATCAGACGTATTTTAATGCATATAACCATTGGGTCTTGATTTAGTTATGACATTATAACATAGAATCATGGCAAGCATCTGTATGTATTTTGTCTAGACCTCTGAACTGTCAAATCAGTTGTATTTGGTTTCGTTTGACTTCAGGATAAATGTATCCCAAACAAATTCTCATGTGGTTACGTTAACAGTTTGGCCATGTACGCCAACTCTCTTGTCAGACTACTTGTTCCGATATAGGTTCGATATGGGCTTCGATATAGATTCACTGTTTCGAAATAATGCGATGACTTTTGGGAGAAACTAATAGGCATTTTTTGAGTTCAATTAGTAGTAGTTTTCCTAATAAACAGCCGATTTCATTAATCAAGCCCAAATAAGCTAGTTTTAAAATTCAAATTTGAAGGTCGTTTAATGTAAGTTTAGTATATGTTATTAGTTTGCTTGCAATCTCCCTTAGCAAATTAACAAGCGTACTCACTCGTTGAAGACAAGGCATGATNCAATTTTTAGTAATTTTTGGACCTCATCTTGAATCACCTGATTTTTGAAAGTTCCTTGCTTTCTGTTCTTTTGTTTGACAAGAGGATATGATGGGTCTTCATTTTGTGATTCATTACTCCCGGTGGTATTCCTGTCATATCAGAATGGGACCAAACAAAACAATCCACGTTAGTTTGCAAAAGTTCAATCAACTTACCTTTCATGTCCTGGCTTAGAGTGGCCCCTACGTAGACTTTCCTTTCAGGACATTGTGTGGATAACAGTACAGCTTCCAGTTCTTCAATTGTTGTTTTGATATTTTCATTTTCCTCTGGTTCTTGAATGGCATCAGTCCTTGAGTCCACATCTGTTCGCCCTTGTTTAGTTGAGATTTGTGTTGTGGTACCCTCAACTGAATTCTGTAACTGCTATTTTTCTACGTTTCTCGTACTTGAATCTGCTACAGAGTTGATATTCCTGGATGTCTATTGATCCCCACATATTTGACATATCCCCCATGGTGATGGAAATTTAATTACTTAGTGCAAGGTTGACGGAACGACATCCATCTCGTGGATCCATGATCTTCCGAGAATCATATTTTAAGCCATCTCCATATCTACCACCTGAAACTTTGTATCTTTGACAACTCCTTATGTGAATGTAGTAAGTGTTACCTCTCCTTTCATCACGAAGCTAGAATTGTCAAATCCTGACAAAGTATGCGCCTTTGGTATTAATTTATCTTCAGCTTGCATCTCGCGCAGTACTCTTAGCAGAATAATATTCACGAAACTACCTGGATCAATCAAAATTCGTTTCACATTAGTATCATGTACAAGTAGAGATATTACCAGTGCATCGTTATGTGGAGATAATATGTCATCTGCATCTGCATCAACAAACGTAATACTTTCTTCCTCTAAGACATGTCGCACCCGTTTCCTGTGGGTAATTGTGACTTTGGAAACTTTATTGGCCGATGTGTACGTCACGCCATTAATGTCTTCACCTCCGCTTATAACATTAATGGCCCATTTGGGAGAAGTTGCTTTAGGGGGCTCCTGCATGTTCTTCATGTATGCTTGCTTACCTCTCTCACTGAATGATTCAGTGAGATACCTTTGCTTTAATAGATGATCAACTTCCCCTTGTAGCAACCTACAGTCTACCGTTTTATGCCCGTGATCGTTGTGAAATTTGCACCAGTGATCACGATTGCGCCTGTTTGGATTCGATCTCATTTCTTTTGGCCACCACACATTATCACCCATGCTTCTTAAAATAGCTACGAGCTCGGAAGTGCTTATATTAAAATTATAACCGTCAAATCTTGCCTTCAAGTTTCTATCATCATCCCATGACTCTCGCATGTTTCAATCATTCCCAAACCCTGATGACGAGCCCGACTCTCCATTCCTCAACCTATGATCATACCTGAGATTGTTGTGTTTTGACCGTGAATCTTTTCTCGCTGGGCCTATATATGGTATGTACCTTTTATTACAGGACCGTTTTTCAGTTTCCGCCAATCTGGAACTTACTTTTCTTCTTTTTGAGATCGTGAAATAATATCCTCTTCTATCCTTAGCTTCATGCTATAACTGTTGTAAACGTCATTCCATGTTGTGGCAGGGAATTCACAAAGACTTTCATTGAGTCGTCTCGTGGCTTTCGAACTTTTTTCATTCAAATTACTAGTGAAGGCTATATAGCTGCCCAATTGTCAGGTACACGCGGTAACGTCATCCTTTCACGCTGGAACCTATCCACGAACTCTCTAAGCAAATCTGAATCCCCTTGCTTGATTTTGAAAATATATTCCATTCTCTTTTCGACTTTTTGAGCTCCCGAATGTGCCTTGATAAATGAATCTGCAAGCTCAGCAAAAGAATTTATGAAATTTTCAGGTAAAAGAGAATACCATGTTAATGCTCCTTAGTGAGTGTTTCACTGAATGTTTTGACCAATACTGATTCAATTTCTTGTTTGGTCAAGTCGTTGCCTTTTACGCCTATTGTGAATGCAGTCACATGGTCTCGCGGATCAGTTGTTCCATCGTATTTTGGAATATCAAGCATTTTGAATTTCTTTGGAATTGGGAGAGGAGCAACACTTGGCTTCCAAGGTTGTTGTGAATATTATCCATATCTATCCCTTTGATTACTGGTGGTACTCCAGGTATTTGCTCTATACGGTCACTTTGCTTCTTGAGTTATTTCTGCAATGTTAGTACTTAATTTTGTAAATCAAAATTGACTAAGTTACCTGGTTCTCCTTCTCGTGACTCGCTGGGATTCCACCACTGCCTGAATTAGAAAGCCCATAACGAGGGTTCTCTAAAGTGTTGTTATTTGGAGTGGGTGTGGGTGGTGTAACAGGTAACTAGCTAACAAAGGCCTCAAGAGCTTTATTGACCTGTTGAGCGATTAGCTTTTGCAAATCTTCATTGATAGCTTCATCATTTTCAAATTGAGCATTTCCATTTGCATAAGATCCATCAGGAGTACCTTCTCGAGACCGCCGAGGGGAACTTTATGGAGAAGGGATCGTGGTGTGATCATCCTGTGGATTCCCCTGGAGTTGATGGTTTCCTTGGTTTACTTGGGTATTGTCATTAATGTTCGACGTGCTTGATGCAACAAAAAAGGTTAGGGTAAGAAAGAATAGATTATCAGATTCCCGATAACAAAACCAATTTATTTAACCAAAAAATTGTATTTCGGTCAAAGCTTCAATTTAGAAGAACTCGGGTTATTGATAATCAGAAACAAATAAAGGAAATTGATTTTGCTAACAATAAGATAGACAAAAGAAAACAAAGTAAAATAGTATATTTAGATGATTTTTCGTGTTCTTACAAATGATCCATTCTCCCCTTTTTATAGCTATCTCAAAAATATACGTTTTGCCTTTGTCATAATAAGGCCATTATAGACAATTAAAGGTATTAAATGCTACGTTACATAATCATTATAATTTAATACAGATTCTCTAACGTTTTTAGTATTTAATGCTTATTAAATACTGTATCTGCACTCTCTTGTGCTGTCAGATTTATTCTCCTTGATTTTTGGTTATAAATAGGTACGAGCGCTGAGTCTTTTGAATAGCTGCTCGTGCCTCTACTTGTTCCTCTGCTCGTATCTATTGCAACTCGTGCCTCTTTTCCAATCATCACTCTTTGACCAACCTCCGTGTCATGACACATCATCTTCCAATCACTTCAATATATAAACTCAATTTTCCCAATACAACATGAAACACTGGATGAACGGCTGATAAACTCGGCGGCAATGCAAGTCTATAAGCCACCTCTCCCACTTGATCAAGAATCTCGAACGGACCAATGAACTAGGGCTAAGCTTGCTCTTCTTCCAAAATCTCATCACACCCTTCATAGGCGACACTCGAAGCAATACCCGTTCACCGACCATGAATGCCAAATCACAAATCTTGCGGTCGGCAAAACTCTTTTGCCCGGACTGAGCTGTACGAAGCCTATCCTGAACAATCCTGACCTTATCCAAGGCATCCTGAACCAGATCCGTACCCAACAACCGAGCCTCTCCCGACTCAAACCATCCAACCGGAGACCGACACCGCCTACCATATAAAGCCTCATAAGGAGCCATCTGAATACTCGACTGGTAGCTGTTGTTGTAGGCAAACTCCGCTAAAGTAAAAAATTGATCCCACAAGCCTCTAAAGTGAATGAAACAAGCTCGGAGCATATACTCCAAAATCTGAATAGTCCGCTCGGACTGCCTATCCGTCTGAGGATGAAACACTTTGCTCAACTCAACTCGTGTGCCCAACTCTCGCTGAACTGCCCTCCAGAAATACAAGGTAAACTACGTACCTCGGTCCGAAATAATAGACTCAGGAACACCATGAAGACAAACAATCTCCTGGATATAGATCTCAGCTAACCTCTCGGAAGAATAGGAGACTGCCACAGGAATGAAATGTGCTGACTTGGTCAGCCTATCAACAATAACCCACACTGCGTCGAACTTCATCTGAATTCGTGGGAGTCCAACATCGAAGTCCATAGTGATCCGCTCCCACTTCCACTTGAGAATCTCAATCTTCTGGAACAAACCACTAGGCCTCTAATGCTCATACTTAACCTGCTGACCGAGCCACATATGCAACGATATCCTTCTTCATTCTCTACTACTATTAATGCTGCTGCAAATACTGATACATCTTCGCGGCACCCGGATGAATAGAGTACCGGGAGCTTTGGGCCTCCTCTAAAATCAACTCTCGAAGACCATCCATATTAGGCACACATACTCAACCCTGCAACCTCAAAACTTCATCATCACCTAAGGTAACTTGCTTGGCACCTCCTTGCTGCACCGTGTCTCTAAGGACACACAAATGAGGATCATCATACTGCTGATCAGGGATACGCTCCAATAAAGAAGAACGAGCGACCGTGCAGGCTAACACATGAATGGGCTCAGAAACATCCAATATCACGAACTGATTGGCTAAAGCCTGAACATCCAAAGCAAGCGGCCTCTCACCGACCAGAATATAAGCAAGACTGGCCATACTGGCTGACTTCCTACTTAACGCATCGGCTACCACATTGGCCTTTCCCGAATGATATAAGATGGTGATATCATAGTCTTTCAACAACTCCAACCATCCTCTCTGCCTCAGATTCAACTCCTTTTGCTTGAACAAATACTGCAGACTCTTGTGATCCGTGAACACCTCACATGCCACGCCATACAGATAATGCCTCCAAATCTTCAATGTGTGACAATGGCTACCAACTCTAAATCATGAACCGGATAGTTCTTCTCATGAATCTTCAACTGCAGTGAAGCATAAATAATGACCTTGCCATCATGCATCAACAATACACCAAGTCCAATACTAGATGCATCCCAATAAACTATGTAAGGCCCTGTACCTGTGGACAAAACCAACACCAGTGTCGTAGTCAGAGTTATCTTGAGCTTCTCAAAAATCGCCTCACACTCGTCCGACCATCTGAACCGGGCACCCTTCTAGGTCAACCTGGTCATCGGGGCTGCAATAGATGAAAACCCTTCCACGAACCGACGATAGTAGCCTGCCAATCCCAAGAAACTCCGAATCTCTGTAGCTGATGCTGGTCTAGGCCAGTTCTTGACTGCCTCAATCTTTTTCAAATCAACTTGTATACCCTCTGTTGATACAACATGACCTAGGAAGGCAACTGAGCTCAATCAGAACTCACACTTCGAGAACTTAGCATATAACTGACTATACCTCAAGGTCTGAAGAACCACTCTAAGATGTTGCTCGTGCTCCTCCCGGTTGCGGGAATATATCAAAATATCATCAATGAAGACTATCATGAACGAATCCAAGTAAGGCCTGAACACTCGGTTCATCAAATCCATAAAATATGTTGGGGCATTCGTCAACCCGAATGACATCACCAAGAACTCATAATGCCCGTATCGAGTGCGGAAAGCTGTCTTAGGGACATCAGATGCCCTAATCCTCAACTGATGGTAGCCAGATCTCAAGTCAATCTTCGAAAATACCTTGGCATCCTGAAGCTGATCAAACAAATCATCAATTCTCGGCAATGAATACTTATTCTTAATTGTAACCTTATTTAGCTGCCGGTAATCTATACATATTCGCATCGATCCATCCTTCTTCATAACAAACAACACCGGCACACCCCAAGGCGAAACACTGGGTCTAATGAAACCCTTCGCAAGCAAGCCTTGCAACTGCTCCTTCAACTCTTTCAACTCAGGCGGGGCCATACGATACGACGGAATGGAAATGGGATGAGTGCCTAGAGCCAAATCAATGCAAAAGTCAATATCCCTGTCGGGTTGCATACCCGGTAGATTTGAAGGAAATACCTCAGGGAACTCACGAACAACAGGCACAGAATCAATAGAAGGAACCTTGGCACTAGAATCACGAACATATGCCAAATAGGCCAAACACCCCTTCTCGACCATACGCCGAGCCTTCACATAAGAGATGACACTACGGGTAGAATGACTAGGAGTCCCTCTCCACTTTAAATGAGGCAATCCTGGTAAGGCTAAGGTCACAGTCTTGACATGACATTCCAAGATAGCGTAGTAAGGTGATAACTAGTCCATCCCCAATATAACATCGAAATCAACCATGTCCAGAAGCAACAAGTCGTCACGAGTCTCAAGACCCCCAATCACGACTATACAAGAGAGATGTACTCGATCTACCACAATAGAATCACCCACCGGTGTAGACACATATA